ATAACAATGCAAGAGCACAATCTGCAGAACAAACAAAAGAAAAATCATCAGGATAAGAGGTTCTTCCACACTCTCTATACTCACCAGATTTAATACCTACAGATTTTCATTTGCTTTGACCATTAGAACATTTCATAAGAAACAAAGAAGTTGAAAGCAGACTTTCAAGCATTTCCAGAGAAAAAACAAATTTCTTTAAATTTGGAATAAAAATTTTGCCTTCTGATTGGGCTGCAGTCATTAAAAATGAAGTTGATTACATTTTTGATAAATAATATTTTTTTTAGCTTTTTTAATTTTTTAAAATTTAAATAAAAGATTATGTGAACACAAAAGGGATCTTTTACAAAACAACACATTCAATGTATTAATTTGTAGTGGAGTTATAACTCTGAGTAAATAATTATAAAGCCCTTATCATTTACAAATACAAAAATAATCTTGGAAAATGAGAAACAGCCAGACATTCAAAACAACAAAACAAGTATTATTTATTATTTGTTTGTTATGTGGTGTTGGAAACATGAGAGATAGTAATACCAAATAAAATTGTAAGATAGGGGTCGATGGTAGATCAAATATGAATCAGAATCTGACAGAGGGATAAGGTAAAGAATAAGTAAAATGTATTCAGTCTTTTTTATATGTTTTTTGTGTCCAGGTGGGGGGGGTACGGTGGAGTAATGGATAGCAGCACAGACTGAGGAATCACAGAGCTGAGTTTGAATTCCAGTCAAATCCATTATATTCACACATGCTAATACCCTTGGGAAAGGTATGAATCCTCTTCTCCTCCTCCCATCTATGGGTAAATAGCAGAACAGACCAGGTTCTGTAGCCTTGAATGGCAACTGGTCTATCACAGAAAGAAATGGCAACCTACTGTGGAAAGAAATCTGCCTTGTCAGTCATGTATCGAAAGATACATGATTGCTTGAGCGTATATCATGCATGGCACATAACTGACTGTGTCCAAATAATTTAGTTAGAAAATACAAGAAATATCCGGTGTTTTCTTACCACAAATTTTTGTTGAGTTCTAATTAGTAAATGTTACTATTATGATCTGAAAAGAAAAAGGAGATGAAATTTTCATTGACACATGTGTTGACGACCTGTCCATACAAACTGCTTATCTGATAGTGAGAATGTCATGTGTTTATGTGTGTAGAGGAGAAAATTGGGGTAAATTCTCATTGGTTTAGAATAAGTGAATTAATGATAATTATGATTGTTATAATTTTTCTATTATAATTATTTTTTTGACACTATAATTTTTATTTATTTTTTGTATGGACAAGTTATTGTAATGCATCTTCCCACAATTTTGATTCAATGAATGCTACTTTAATTAAACAAGAAAGCAATTTATCTAATAAGAAAGTGTATAGAAAGCACTTTAATCAGCAGATCATCCATAGTAAATTTACATCCTGGCTCTTACAACATTTCACCTTTCTTGGCAGATCTTCTATTATTACAATGTGTGATAATTTAACAACAAAGGGGATAAAAACATAAACAAAAACCAAAAGAAATTAAATGAAATTGACTCGACCCTCAACACATATTAAAAAAAAAAAAAAAGATTTTAGTATCTCCTCTCCTTCATGTGCATGTGTAATTACATAAATATGAACATCACTTTAGTCTAATGAAGTCCTAAAGTATGAAATATGTCACACAAAATAAATTTCTACTTTGTAATTAATTTTCAATAAATAATATCTAAATAATATTGAAATTAACTTATATTTGTTTTTATATCTTTTCTCATAAAATGTAATTACTTTCTGAAAACCCTAATATAATTTAAAAAGAAAACAATCCCCAAAGCATATCCTGTCAGGATGCAGGTGATCATGTCTCCCCACAACTTCCTTTTTTGTAATATCTGTGAATTGGGAATTGCCATGAATGTTTTTGGCAAAAGTAGTAGATATTAGCAAAAAAAAAAAGAAAAGATTGTGAAGTCTTTACTAATGTAAAATATATTTACTGGTAGAAAATAAACCTGTGTAGAAAATTCAGTCAGATTTTTTATATTAAAAATCTGAATATCCAAATTCCAAACAATAATAAAAATAAAAAAATATGGGTATGCCTGTCATTTATATTTACAAACACACACATACACACAAACATATATATATATATATATATATATATATATATATATATATATATATATATATATATATATATATATATTTGGTTGGATAGATGTGAGTTTGTGACCCTGGGTTTCACGCTTTTAGCGATCGTCAGACAAACTGATTAATGTTTTGTTGAGCGCTTTCTAATAAGTACCACGCATATAATATATAAATAATTATACATATATATATTTATCTATATTTATATACACTTTTCACATATATATATATATATATATATATATATATATATATATATATATATATATCAATGAATTCAAGTGAAAGTCTTAAGGTATCACAGAAATTGCTGTCGCAAGACTTTGAAATAGTTCATTTTGCAGTAAAAAAGCAGTAGTTGAAAAAATACTTTTATCATTAGCAAAGTTTCACTGACCATCTTTGTTGCTGTTGTTATAGGAGACGATTTGTTTGAAATTGCTGACTGGCCGTTCATGCTTTTGTTGTTGGAGACGATTTGTTTGAAATCACTGATATATGTTTCTCTCACTATACATTGGGGTGAAAGGAAAAAGATAATATAGCTACATCTTCTCTTGTGTTTCTTGGAGAGGGTGGAGACAGTCGGATATCTGATCTTTGTTTTGGGCTTGGAGAAGGCTGCTCTGAGAGTTAAAATCATAAAATTTCTTGAAAGTGAGCTCAAGAAAAATAGGGTTTTAGTTTTTTCTGATTGGTCAAATATTTCACATGGTGATGTTAATTTCTAACCAATAGACACTTTAACTTAAACAGCATTTTTTGCCTTGGGGAATCTTTTTGGCATGTTTGTAATATTGTCTGTTGTTGGGTAGAAAATAAAATTTGGGCATTTTAATATTTTATATATGTGGTGATATATCAAAAATGACCTTCAGTTGTTAACTGGGGCAAAGGATAGCTTGTTAATTGTAACATCTCCAAACTGCTAAACTGCTCTCTATTAATCATTTGAGAGACCCTGTTCTGCCTTACATCAGTATGGCTAATGCTAACCTCCAGGAGAGTGACTCGTTGCACCTTCTTGGGCTAACATTCTTGGCTGACATGAAGTGGAAAGATTATATTGAACCCATTTTTGCTAGATCAACTGTTAAGAATGTTGGTTCACTGTGTTGAGCTAGACAATCTTTCTTGACAGAATCTTTCCTTCATATCTATAAGTCTACCATACTTCCATGCATTGAATATTGCTGCCACATATGGTCCAGTGCTCCTGCTATATATCTAGAGCTCCTTGATAAAATCCAAAGAAGAATCAGCAATATTATTGGCCCTGATCTGGTGTCTCAGCTTCATTCATTTTCCCATTGCTGTAAAGTTGCCTACCTGTGCCTTTTTTATAAATACTTTCATAGTAATTGTCTGGATGAGTTCTTCACTATGGTACCTAGACTTTATGAATATAAGTGCAATACTAGACTGGCAACAAGGTTTCATTGATATACAGTTGAATTGACTACATGTAACCATAACTTCTATGCTAACAGTTTCTTTTCTCACACTTATCACTTGTGGAACTTCCTTCCAGCTCCCTGCTTTCCAGCCAACTTTAATCTTCAAATATTAAAATGCAAGGTCAATTGCTATCTACTATCCTCCTGATTACTCTTTCCTCTCATCAGTAATGTTTCTGTTCCTAATTCTTCCACACCCAGTAAACCCCTTGTGTCTTAGTGGCTTTACTGCTTTGCTTGTGGAACTCCCTTCCAGCTCCATGCTTTCCAGCCAACTTTAATCTTCAAATATTTAAATGCAATATCAATCGCTATCTACTGCCCTCCTGATTACTCTTTCCTCTTCCCACTCATTATTAATGTTTCTGTTCCTAATTCTTCCACACCCAGTAACCCCCTTGTGTCTTAGTGGCTTTACTGCCTTGCTTGTGGAACTCCCTTCCAGCTCCATGCTTTCCAGCCAACTTTAGTTTTCAAATATTTAAATGCAAGGTCAATTGCTATCTACTGTCCTCCTGATTACTCTTTCCTCTTCCCACTCATTATTAATGTTTCTGTGTCTTCCACACCCAGTAAACCCTTCTTGCTTGGGGTGAACTTGATTAACATATATATATATATATATATATATATATATATATATATATATATATGTGTGTGTGTGTGTGTGTGTGTGTGTGTGTGTGTGTGTGTACTCATTAAACTCTTTATGGGTTGTCTACCCTGAACTCTACTGATATTCTCATATTCCATTCTTTTTTAATTATTTTTTCAGTTAATGTAACTTACTTCTCTTGATCAAAGCTGTGATACCAAATTCTGGTCAGGGTTTATTTTGTTTATTAAAACCTTGTTTAAGGCAAGCTTGCCTCTTTTGTTTATTACATGTGGGTATGTAACTGTGTCGGAAATAGGCTTTATTTCCTATACCTGTATTTCATTTTGTCATCAAGAAAACCACTCTTTTCATCAAAGTATGCCCTACTAATTAGGCTATAGGAAACCATCATAATAAAGCAAGCTTCATTTACCTACTTTAGGAATGCACATCTCTCGTTGGGATGTTTCAAAGTCTCTATCTGCTAGCTTCACTTTCATACCCAAAAAAACTAAACAAAATAATTTTTTAAATTCATTATTTCTTATAACTATAAAATATGAAATTATAAGATTTACACTATTGACATCGTTTGGACTGCCACAGCTGCGCAGGATGGCATACCCTGGGTACATGACAGCAACTCCCACATAATGCGATAGAAGGGCATAAGATGATAACAAAACTCAGAAAACAGCCTCCGTCTGCCTATGTAAAGGGCTTATCGGAAAAGATGCAAAAGATCTGCTGTCCATATAACATCAGGGCAACCTTCAGGAGTGGTTCAACACTATATATATATATATATATATATATAGAGAGAGAGAGAGAGAGAGAGAGAGAGATAGATAGATAGATAGATAGATAGATAGATAGATAGATAGATAGATAGATATTTATATGGTAGGAGAAGGAACAAATAGGAAACATTTATAAATTTAACGTTTCACTTTTATTAAAGCTTCACAAATGTTTTCTATTCGTTCTTTGTCCTATCATTCCTATCAATTCATATTTGATCCCATATTTGATCCCATATTTGATCCCATATTTGATCTCATATCAAGTCTATTAACTTATGGATGCTATTTAATGAATACTTCCAGGCTATTTTCAGTTTGATTGAAATTTCCTATCAGGCCATGTTCCAGGAACTCAGTGATGCAAGTATTTCCACATTTATTTTCTTTAACCAGTGAACCAAAACCCCAGTTTTCAATTACACAGCTGTTCCATCAATGATATTTCAATGACAAGATGGTTAACTTCCTATTTATTATTCACAGATTTAAAAACATGAACAGGAAACTCACTAAAGATCATTATGATTTGATTTGAATCAAAAAACATTATTTGTGGCAAGAAGAATGCATGAAAGGACAAATTTATATGCAAGGTTAAGATTAAGATATGCAAAATTTAGAATTTTATGTAACTTAATCAAATAAAATATAAATAAATTTAAAACCTCATTGGACAATGATAGTACTAAGATATCTTAGATGAAGCATTTTCAATTATTATTCATTTTTGACTAGCATTTCTTTCATCTTATTTCTCTTGCTTTTCCACCAAGTAGTAATAGTCTTAATTTGTCTGAATTTCTTAGATGAAGCCTTGGCAATTATTATTCATTTTTTACTAGTATTTCTTTCATCTTATTTCTCTTCCTTTTCAATCAAGTAGTAATAGTCTTAATTTGTCTGAATTTCTTAGATGAAGCCTTGGCAATTATTATTCATTTTTCACTAGTATTTCTAGTTTTAATAGTTTGTCAATTTTAACGGCTGCATATGTCAGCAACTTCCACTGTGAGAATACAGCCTTGCCTGAGCTGGTCATGTGAAATATATCCAACTTCTTGATGATGCCTATCCCCAGAATCAACTTGAATCCCAGCAATTTACTATTCACAACTCAGACTGTACCTTTAACTGTGTTCATGTAATCCACTTTCAGCTTTCTGGTACAAATTCCTTGGCACTTAAGGATCTGTCTATTGGCCATTGACACCTTTACTTTGTCTTTGCTGCAGGCAAGATATTTAAAGTTGTTAATGAGAACAGAAATCACCCAAATCCATCAATGCTTTATATGGTTTCCTATTTATGTGCACTTTTCTTGCCTGGAACACCTCATTTATTTCTTTTTTGCAGAGGAGACCGGCATCAACATCTTGTCCCCTAGCCTGTTTCTCTGTTCAGCAATATAACCTAGTCCTTTGCATCAAAAACACTATGCTTTTCAGTGGGCCTTTTGTGAACAGCTGGTGGATGTCTCTGGAGATCGATATTAGCAATCCCTGGCATAATGATTAGGTCTGCAGCAGTTAATGTTGGTAGGACACTTAGTGAAGGCCATCTGAATGTCTGTTTCAACTGCATGCACAGCTGCCATGACTGGTTCTTCAATTGTCATCTGATCCTTTCTAACCACATGGGCCAGCAGTTGACTCATCATCATCTCATGAATCCTTGATGACTCAACTCCTGCAGTGTGTACTTCCCATCATTCAGCAGTCATATTTTGCAAAATGGAAACAGCAAGTTTTGGCTTTTCCCAAATTGAGGACTGCTAGTTGGAGATTTCTATCTCTGGAGAAGATATATTATCAAAGAGAAATGGTACCATGGACTTGTAAACTGTAGCATCTGCTGGAGGAGGTAAATTTAGCCTAAAATAGAAAGCTCTCAGTTTTCCTGCAGTGTGTGCTTCCCAGGATTCAGTAGTCCTGCTACATAAATGCATACCAAACCCACTTCCGATAATCCCTCAAACAATGAAGCAAGCTTTCACAAATCTGTAAGACATACATCAACAGGCTCTCCCAGGTACAGATGACACATAATAATTTAAATTATTATTATTGGGATATACAATATTATAACCGGAGAGAGTTTTAGAAGAAAGGTTTATTCTCCCATATATATTTCCCCTATTATGGGCATTATTATATCCATGATATAATAACACCATATCTCATGGATGGAATGAAATGGCTGAAAGGAAAAAGAATGACAAACATGCTTTGTTCTCAGGGAGACTTTTATCCCACTATGACATACACAAGTTTGTATATACATATACACACATGTCCCATGCAGAGAAAAATATAACATATCTACACAGCAAGCAAGACAGGATCTTATATATAATTTGAAGATTCTTCTGTGTTTCTGGAGAAACCATGTTTAGGACTCCATATTCAAACAGGCTGAATTCATTGCTATGTCCCAAGCAAGGACATATTCTGTGAACTGGTGAGTCTTGGTTTTTCCCAAATTGAGGATTGCTAGCTGGAGATTTCTATATCTGAGCAAGATATATTCCCTAAGGTAAATGTTACCATGAACTTGTAAACTGTAGCATCTGTTGGAGGAGGCAGATTTAGCTTCATCCTGGACCCCTTGACCCAGGTCAAAATAGCAACCACTCGAGTTTTGCTGAAATTAATGGCCACTTTCATCACTGTATGAAGTGATGTCATTAAGTGGCTATCACATGACCCAACTGTCTTATCTTGACCAAAAGGAGATAATTGCCTTTTGTATCCTTACAATATTATTATATTGGAATATACTAAAATTGCATACTGGAAACTAAGACAAAATATTCAGAAAAGTCACTTTTTAACATATATATTCCAAATATGTGCATTGAATATTGCTGCCATATCTGATCTGGTAGCCTTATATTCTTGACAAAATTCAAAGAAAGGTCTCTAATGTAGTTGATTCTCACCTGGCATCTTAATTTCAGTCACTTTCTCATTGATATGACGTGGTTTCCATCTACCTGTTCTATAAATCTTTTCATGATAATTGTTCTGATGAACTTTCCTCTTTGATGCCTTCACTGCATGAAATGTACTACTAAAGTGTCAGATAGGTCTCACCATTTTACTATTGAATGAGTTAGATGCAACTGTATGTTCTATTCTAATAGGTTCTTTTCTTGCATTTCTCACCTCTGGAACTCTTTTCTGATTTCTTGCTTCTCTGTCACCTACAATTTTCAAAAATTTAAATGCAATGCTGATGTTATAGACAAGCGTATGGTTGCAAGAAAGAAATACAACAACAGCAGAAATAGATTTACGTGATTTATGACAGGTTTTTTTCCCTGGCCTCTTGTTGACTGCTGTTGTACTTCCCTGTGTGACCCCTTTTATGGCGTTTTTATGGCTTAACAGGCTCAAAAAACGACACGAGTATAATTAGGAGGGAAGCATTTTTATTGGTCGAAAAATAGAAACACTTTAAAATATTATTTTATTTTTCGACCGGAACTCATGCATCAGGCTTATGTGTAAACGATGATAATGGTCATTTTGTGACAGGGCCTTGTCCCGTTCACATCCAGCTCTCGCTCTTGAGCATGTTAGTTTATTTGCCTGCAAATCAGCCGAGATATGTCTTATTTTATTTTATAACACCGATAACCATCTTCTGTCTTCATGAAACCTGTTTTTTATTGTCCTTTTTTCTCACTTCTTCTGACTAAAGTCTTCTCATTCTCTTTCACTCCCAATAATCCCTGCATACTAGTAGCATTATTGCCTTGCTTGGGGTGAGTTAAAAAAAGAAGCATTTCAGAGGTTAAAGCATGATGAGTTTGGAAATATTCTTTAAACAATAAGAAAAAAATGACTTTTTAACAGATATTCCCAAAAGACATGAAGTAGATATGAGAGAGGTACCATATTTGATGGCATATAAGTCACACTTTTTTGACTAAAAATATCTTTTAAAATTCTCCTGCATCTTAATGCCATATTTAGGTTTAAAATTCGCAATAGTCAGCCAAAATTAGCTACCTGCCAACTCCTATTAGCTTAGATTTTAGAGTAACTTTTATATACATATTTTTATTATTTAAAATGTTATTATGCAGATTAAAAGTGTTATCATTAATAATATTCATTATATTAATTTCATCACGGTTAATATTAGTACTTTGTTTCACTAAAATTATATGCAATAAATTCAAATTATATATTTGTAAAATATATTTGTTTCATTAATACTTTTCTTGTGATAACTTCTGGTTGCATTGGTATAAATAAAATCAAAATTTTTATATCCTAATTATTCCAATAAGACGTTTATAAGACGCAGGTTGTACAGATCATATAAACGATATAATATTAATAAAGTTTTTATAGGCTTGTGTTCTTTTTTTCCTATTATTTTTTGTTTAATTGTAATTATATCTTGTTTAACCAAAATAATACCTCATAAATATAGCCTAGGCTGTACCATTTAGTAATAATTTTACTAATTACTAATTTTCTATTGATATTCCCTGCTGAAATTGGGGTGCGTCTGATACACCTGTGCATCTTATATGCCATCAAATACGGTAATATTTAAAGTGAAAAGATTGAAGAGCATACTTAAATAAAAATATTTTTTAGAAATAATTTTTGTCAATTAGCATTCATTACATCTGCTTAAAGGTGTGACATTTGTAAAAATTGAAAAATATTGACTTTTTGTCTTTTAGTAGTGGGGTCATTTTCATAATATCAATACAAAGTAAAATCGATTGCTGACTTTTCAAAACAATATCTGAACTTATTTTCCAATAATATCAACCAGAAACTGATAATGTTAAGCTAAAACAAACATTATGAAACATTATCAAGTAAACACTAAAAATATCAAGCAGATATCAACATTATAAAGTAGAAACCAACATTATGAAGCAAAAGCCAACAAAACCTAGTACAAACCAATATTATCAAGCAGAAGCCCAAATTGTCAAGCAGAACACAATATTATCAAACAGAAACTAACACTATCAAGTAGAAACAAATGTTATGAAGCAGACATTATTATCAATCAGAAACTGAATATTATCGCTATTCCAAAGTTTAAATCTTTTTCCTTTCAAAACTACAAGCAATTATTTTTTAGTACTTATGTACT